TGGCTCGTACCATCTCGCGTCCCGTTAAGAGCCTCTCCTCATGCTGGGCGCCGTACTCCATTCGACTGATCTGTTGAAGGAAGTGTATGTGATGATTGGACAGACCGCGATTCCTACGCATGTGGGTGAATTTCTCAATCAAATTTGTGGCGATCATGATGTCAAGACGTTGGAAGCGACCCGGGTTTCTGAGCTGTTCATCTCCCACAGCAGGGTCCATAGCTTCCATGATCCAACGCTGTGCTGCTTGAATCTCAGGAGATGATCCAGCAATAGCGCGGATTGCATGCATCTGCCACTCCCGTATGTTTGCAACATCAGGAATGTCCATCAGATCAACTTTCTGAATGTTTCCAACCTGTCTCCACTGGTCCAACGGGGTACTCTCATCAAGGCCTCCGGGGTCACGTGGCCCTCTTGGGCCCTGAGGTCCGCCGCGACCGCCTCCGCCGCCGGGGGATCCAGGCCCCCCCGGACTCCCTGGAAGCGGCTTCTCTGGCCGGTCGCGTATGGCATCATTGAGTGCCGACAAAATCTCAGCACTTGGTGCGACACTACTGTCATCCCTATCTTTGTCCTGTGCTGCCCCGCCTGGCGGCGTTGCCGCTGGCGCATGGTCATTATTTCCACCAGACGGCTTGGCCGCTGGCGGTCTTACCTACAGGTCCGCCCTTAGAATGGAAAATAATTGACAAAAGTCATGTCATCATTGTTTCCTATGAAGTTCGTCTTGATAGGCAAGCCATTCTCGGAGGTGCTCGGCTTGGCCGGACCTTCGATTGCAGGGCCAGGAACAGAAAAGTTGGGTCTCATGACGGGCCTCACGGGCGTTTCCTGTGAAAGCAAAGGCAAATCAAATGAACCAAAGTTGGGCAATTTGCCCTGTTCCTTCTCACCATATGGAAAGGGCTTTGTGATGATAGCTTTGAGCTTCACCACTTCTCTCTCTATCTCTGATGCAACCGCGCGTGCCAGAGCCCCATCCTTCTCTCGGTCGTTGGCAACTGACCTTTCTGAGCTCAATCTAGATTGCTCCTCAGCTTGCTCCTTCATCTGCTGAACATTAAGTTTGTCAGCGTTACATTCGTCAAGAAGCTTCTGCTGTTGGGCCCGAAAGTCATGATCAGCACTGCGTTTTCGTCATTGCTCGTCCCACTTCTCCTGTTCTGCCAGCAAGCTCTTCCTTTGAGTACATGCAGAACACCGTTTGGTGCTCGCGTCGAAGTGATCTTTGCAGCTTGGCAGTCCACAAGTGGCGCAATCTCCTACTTTCGGATTGAAACAAAACGAGCAACTCTCTTCATCATCCCATTTCGCGGGCCGTGGCTGCGATGCAGCTCTCACCTTCAGCATCGGCGGCATCGCGCTTACCATGGTCGTCGAGCCTGACAGGGCCTGCGTGGACGTCACGACGGACGGCTGGGCCGCCGGCGACGGTCGCCCACCCGCCCCAGCCGGCTTGGCCGGTGGGCACCTACTGTCGCTCAGCTGCATACGCTGAAGAGATGCTCTGGCGTTCTCATGTAACTTGAGCTCTTCTCGATCTTGCCTCCTCTGATCAACTATCGTCGCAGCTACAACCTGGGTACTGGCCACTTCCAACCTGGCAGTGTGAAGCTGTTCTTGGAGCTCCTGTCTTACTTGTTCTGCCCTGGCTGCGGCGACTCTCTCTCCTTCTATTCTCGCCGCCGCCACAGCGGCGGATGCGATCTTGGCACCGACAGACTGATTGGTCGCCATCACAACGGCCTGTCGTTCGGAGGCTATCATCACAGCAGATATGTTCTCAGCTTCTTCTTCCGCGCGCTGCTTGGCAGCCGCGGTTTGATGGGGCATCTGTTCCACCAGTCCTTGTGCTCGCTCTCTGACCGCCTGGGCCATTGCGAGTCTTCCAGCTTCAAAAGTCTTCCGAACGTCCTCAATGACTGCATTCATCTGTTCTCGGTCTAGTCGGGCTTTCTCAGCCCTCTGGGCTTCGCGGGCCAGGAATTCTTGCTGAGTTTTAGCCTCGACAAATCTAGCCTGATTCTGCACAGCTTGGATAGGAAGGTACGAGCAATTGTGCTCTTCCATTGGCATGCAGTCTACACGCAACCACTGATTGCTACAATTGGGGCGCACGTCTGAGCAATTGTTACGTACTGGGCGCCTACAGGCTCCATTCGGCTTGTGGACTTTCCCCGGGCGCCTGTTCTCCGCCCGGGGCGGGCAGTTGGGGCCCCAGTTCCAGCATGTCTCGCGCATGGATATCGTGCCATTGGTCCTCGAAGTGGATCGAGCTCCAGATCCACGCATATTGGGCCTTCCCCTGCTCGAATCATTCGATCTGGGACGTGCGTGCGTACTCTCTGGCGGTTCAGCCGCCTCTTGAAGCTCCTCATCCCTTTCGTCTTGTCCGACCAACTCATCCAGCGAAGCCGTAGGGGTGATCAATTCATCATCCTCAACTACAACAGGTATCGACGGTTGCCAATCGCCTGTGGCGACGGCAGCTCGGTGAAACCCTTCCTGAAGCGGAGAATCATTCCAGTCATGATCCTCATTCCTTTGTTTCTTGAGTTGAGGAGCGGGAGTTCGTCCTGTGATCTCCCGGCCATGCTTCGCTTGAGTCTGATACTCCATTTCCACCTCGACCATCTGGGGCGTCAGGTCACTTATCTCGATGACTGAATCTGATATTGCAAACGCTTCCCCAAGGGCTTCCACGTGATCGTAATCAATTGTGCCCTGCCCAGGGGACCACCTCTCGTCTTGGACGGGGTGGTCTGCGTCAAATATCGAGGACGAATCTCGGCCCAGTGACACTTGATAGTTGGCATACTCAATGTATTTATCCATGGAGTTGATATCATCTCCATCATCGAACTGTTCATCACTGTCTTGGCCGGCTTGTCCGTTCAAGGCTATCGGGATGGGATGAGTCCTCTGGGCGTTTCCCCATCCGTCCGGGACGGTGGGGTACACGCCTCTGGACCCCTTAGCTTCCCCCGACCCACTGGCCTGGCCAGCGGCAGGCACAATAGTCCGCATTGCAATCGGGCTGGAGTTTATTGTATCCGAAGATTCGGCAATCAACGACGAGAATGCTCCTCGTCTTATCTTTGCTGTTGTGCCGTCCCGCCTTGTCGGGTCTGGAATCTGTTCACAATCACCGATCGGGATTCGAGAGGGAGAATCATCTCTTGACAAATCTATAACTTCTCCCCTACTCCTTCCACGACAGACCCTAGAGGCAATAGAAGAAGAGGGAAGGCGGCCCCTCCCCGGGCCGCCGTCCTGTGGTTCTTGCCCGTCATGTTTTACAACTTGTGATGCTAGCTCGGCTCTGACGGGCAATTCGGCTGTCTCATCATAGCTCATCCCTGTTGCGACTTGGTCGCGGGTTTCGGCTGATAACCAGTCTTTCCTCTGAGAATCGGGGTAAGATGACAAAGGAATTAAGGTCTCGTGTTGACTCTGCTCAGTAGTAGAGGATACGGGATGAGACATCGATGGAACTACAAGTAACCGATAAGCAATTGTACTCAGGAGTGGGAAGGGAGGAGGCCGGCCGGCCGACGTCCGACGACACGCGGCGGCCGAGGGCTGGCGCGCTCCTTTTCTGTCCTGTAAGCACAAACAGCTGCGGTACAAAGCCGCAGGGTCAAAGTGTGGCAAGGCAGGCAGCGAGAGAGGCAAGTGTAAGATGAGGCGGAGAGGAACATATTTACTCGAATTGCTGTACTGGGTGTCGCTGGTGTTGTCGCAGAACTCCAAGTCGCCCAAACCAAGGGCGTGATGATGAACGTTCAACAACGACTTGTAGACCGACCGCAAATGATGTTGGGAGGTGACAGCGAAGCGGACCCAACTGGGAAATCGGTGTCGATGTCGGTTCGCGTCGCGCGTGCGACGATGTGTCCGCCGAGACTAAGGCCTCGTTGGGTGGTAGGTGTTGCCATCCAGTGTCTCGCGGTGAAGCGCTGGGTTGTCCAATGGTTGTCCTGAGGTTGTCCTACAGCTTGTCCCGTAGTCGTCCCGTTGGCCTGAGATGTGGATGCCCCCAGATTGCCACGCTGCAAGCGGATCCCCCCAGAGGCAGGCAAAATGACAAGCTCGGGCTGGTACTTTGATCCAGAGCGGCCTGAGCCAAGACGGCTTGAGCCGAACCAGCTACTGATCCATGGGCATCGGCGTAGGAGGTCGATCCATGTTGTCCTTCGAAGCGAGGTCGATTGCACTAAATACTCAAAGATACGATTCGCTGTACCACTGATGCAAGTGCTTCTTCTAGTACTGCCAGGGCTGCTTCTGCTGGTACTGCTACCGATGTTTCCGCAGCTGCTGCCAATACTTCTGCTACCGCTATGACTGCTGATACTCCGAACCAAAGAAGAATGGAGCGGCGCGAGGGCGAACGCAACGTTTCTGGTAAGGAATGTGTCCGGCGCTGCCAGCACCCTGGTAGGATTATGTTTTGTTGGCGCGCCGGCGACACGATGATTCCTGGCATCTGGGGGTGCATTGCCCGAGCTCCGACAAGAGCACAACTCCAACTCGGTAACGTGGCCAGTACTAAAGTGATAGAATGATTCCGAATCCCTATGTGGAGTGGCTGACTCCTGGGGGAGCACGTCTCTCATGCATAAGTGCAGAAGTAGCACCGGCCAACGCCTGGCTGAAACGTTGGACCACAATTAAGACTTCCAAGATAGAGCAGCACAAGCGCCAGCATCAATAGCGACAGAAAGAACGCAGTCAGCAGCAGTAACAGCACCAAACCCTATCCAGACGATCAGATCCCGAAGACAGCCCCCTTACTCTCATCTCACTAATGAGTCCTTCTCTGACTCCTGACTCACACTAGCTCTACGTCTAGCAAAAATTGCCTAATCTAATGGGAAACTGAATCATGGAGACGTCCGCTAAGCCGCTAATGGAGCTCGTCCATGACCAAGAAATCACATGATTTTCCGCGCCAGCTCTCTGATCCTCTCCAGTTCTACTCAATAGCAGGGAGCCTGGAGCAGGTGGCAGCCTGCCCTCACCTGTGCCGACAAGTACTCGATAATCACGCTGGTAAGCAGCGACATCAGCGCCCCCGCCTGGAGCGGAGAGCAGCGGGAGGTGCGACAACGGCTCAATGGTCGAACACGCACTTCGCTTGGACAGCTGCAAACATGAGTTCACGAAACACACTGACACACACGCACACACACACGCAGACATGAAAACCACAAGTGGTTGGGCTTATCAACCTCATACTTTGAACACGCGTGTACATACGCGCACATCAGCTAAAAGCGTTACGCGGAAGAGAGGGACATATATAAACGGACGGGGCATGAATATGCACGTATGGGATGATCGTCTTATCTATTGTGCCCACTCATATTTGGAATCCACGCTAGCAAATACTCTTTGGGCATCACGCGTGTGGGCTCGGCGACAAGTTCGCCCTCGCAGACGGACCCAACTGAATAAATAATAGGTTGGTCCTCCACATATCTTGCCAGCCAGCGCACGAGGGGCAGCATAGGAGAGAGCGAGCGGCACAACATCGACGATGTGCCCCATCAAACATAAACGCTCAACCACGGTCCTGACTGAGGAAACAATGAGACACAAAACAAAATAGGTCGGGGAGCAGCAAGGCCAACGAGAGGATAATACGGCCAGAGTGGGACACGGGACACCGAAGACCTCAAACTCTTGCGGCGAATGCGCGGCAACAGGGCGATGACGCCGTGAACCTGGACGTCAGAGCGGCGGCGGCTCAGAAAGAAAGCGAGGCACCGTGCAGAAGCTGCGCGCCCTGGCGCCGAGTCCCCACCCCAGCCCACGCGGCGCTTCCTCGTCAGGGCCTGGACTCACCACCTTCACAGGAGGTCGCCTGATGCATCACTTGAGCAGAGAGGTTCGAGATTAGAGCTGGTCGCTTGACCTCCGATCTGGCCAGCTGATTAGAGGACGGGGACCTTCTGGACGTCCCCACCCGTAACGCCTCCTTTGGGTGGTTCGCCAGCCAGCGTTCGCCGGAGTCTGTGTTCTTCTTCATGGAACCGCCCACCATGTAGTAGAAGAGTGTCCAGGGCGCTGCGCTGAAGCCGATGAGAGCGCGCGACCCGAAGCCCTCCTTCGGGGCTGAAGCACAGTTGGGGAAATAGGAAGGGAAAGAGGGGAACATGAGGAGCCGCAGCAGGAAATCGCTTTGGGTTCCGACGCATGATGTTCATATTTAGTGTCCAGGGTGTGAACCGATTTTCCACAGCACAATCATCAACGTCTCCACACGCCTAACACATGCCCGCGGTGTTGAAGCAGGTCGACAAACAAAACAAGCCATGAATAAAGCATGTGGGGCCCGCCGCGTAGAGCCTGACGTTGCCCGGAATTTGGTATACTAGAACCACGCGCGCGCTTCGCGCGCGCTTAGGTTCTAGCAAGCGCAGGCGCTTGACAATACCACGGCTGCGCGCATTGACAAAGTCACGGCTGCACGAATGCACGTACCGACGAATGGCTTCAGCATGGTTTGCCTCGTGAGGTACACATTGTGAACCATCAGGTGGAATACGCCTGTACAACAATTACGTAGTAAAAATGAGCCAGACTTGCTAAGACGAATATGCCAAAACGGTCCAACGATACCGATTTGTAGACACTGCCCAGAGCAGATCCGCCCAAATCGGGACATGTTTCAGAGGATCGAACCGTCGTGGACTCGTAAAACACATTCGGACTCGAAGCAGGCCCACCTCCTGACATAGGAAGGACGGCACTAAAACTCAATACGCAAATGCATTGGCGGCGAGGTATATAATGAGCTGCTGAGCGTCGAGGCGGGTGTGGCCGCTGAACTTATTCATGTACTCGACGGACTTGAGCTAAAGACGAAGTAACTCAACGTGATTAGTAATGAGCATGGTCTGCAGTTGAGGTCAGGCTGCTGTCGGCGGGGTGGGTGTAGCGAAAATGCTGAGCCCAATTCGCAATAGAGGGTTACGGCACGGCGTCGTAGCCAGGCACCGATCAACAACGCCGTGGCGAGCGTTTCCTCACTCTGCCGGAAGGTTCCAAGCGCCGCTGTGGTGTCTGTCGGGTGCGCCTCGGCAGACAAGATGGCCGCTTCGAAAGGGGGCACCGGCAATGTTCTCATCGACGCAGGACCCCCTCAGCCTGCAGTGAGCACAGTGGGACCATTGATACCGCATAGAGTGCCCATCCCTTCACCAGAAACTTCCCCTTCTCTCACATCCCAACCTCGCCCATAGATTCCATGTCCCTTGTGCTCCCATCCCGTTTCATCCCCTCCGTCGCCCATTCTCGTCTCCTTGAACCTGTGAGGACTGGGAGGCCAGTTCTGCTAGCTAGAAGCGTAAACACAATTCCCCCGCGACACCTGTCATTATTTGGTACGGCCTTTGTGGCACTGCCAACTGCTACCCTCCCTTCTCCCCTTTTCTCTGACTCGCACCGCCTCCCCTCCCTCTCCGCCTCTCCCCATCCCCTCCCTCACCCACCCCCGCCCTCTCACATACCCTTTACTCCCTTGCTGGCTGGCAAATGGGCCAGCCGTGCTTGCCACTTTCGGCTACTGCCCTCCTGGAGTTGCCGCTGTCGAATGCCCCACGTTCAAGAGGGCGATCCGACATCCACGCGACGAGCCGATGCGCCGGCGAACCTTCGTGCATCCCCCTCCTTCTCCTTCTCCTGCCCCACCCCCATCTCAACCCTCCGCCCCAGTCCTGCGCCTTCCGTCTCCCCCTCCTCCTACTCCTCCTCATCTTCTTTTTCTTCTTCCTCCTTCTCCTCCTCCTCCTCCTCCGCCTCCTCCCATCGTCCCCTCGCGCCGCGCACGGGCGAGAAGGTGGGGAGTGAGGAACGGGATGATTACCCAGAGAAGGTGATGCAGCGAAGGTGTCGAACGCCCCTCCGCCGTTGCACACAGCGGTTGCCGTGACAGTATCCATGCGATGCGCGTGGCACGGCGGCGCTGCACATGCGCAACGACCTCACATGATCTGGCCACGGGAAGACGCATGCGTCTGCGGCGTGCAATTCAGATAATGCCGTTAAGATCAACTCTCGGGGAGGATGGCCGACGATCGGTGTACGAATCCTCCCCGTTCCATTTTCTCCTGCCCCAGCATGGGTCCTTCTCCATCTGTGCGCGAATCTGCCGCACAGACTCCATCACGTGCCCCAGGTGCGTTTCCTGAGGACTGCCCACATATTTGTTTTACGTTCTCGAATGTCCGAGTCTCCATCGCCACTCCTCCTAAAACTATGTCAGGCAATGCGCATGTGGCCATGGAACCAAAGAGCCGATACGACAGAATTGCGAGAGTTGGCTTCGACTGCCCCTAAAATCCTGCCCCGGTTCAGACGCATTACTGTTCTACGTGATCGCCAGCACGACTCGCAGCTCAGCCAATCGAAGGAACGACCACAAGTTGTGGCGTCCTCACGATCAATAGCGCAAGCCGTATGTAATTAACATCCTCCCTCCACCTGCTCAACCACCATTTGAGCCTCAATCGTTCACTACTTCTGCCGCCACGTCATCCTCCGTGGCCCTTGCAATATCATGTGTGGCGCAGCGCGGATCTGGGCAATGTCAGAATGGAAACCGTGTCATAAGAAGATTAGACCTGTGACGGCTTGTGCAAAATTATGGTTTTCGCTCGTGACCGCTAAACCCTCACACCTGGAGTAGAACGTTTCCTTCCTCGCACGTGTGAAAAAAACGTAATGTCGGCGGGAACGCAAAAACAATGGTGGCAAACACATGCTGAGAAACAGCCGTGAAGTCCACATCCACATGTTTCGATATCAATCCGTCTCCTCGTCGTCCTCCTCTTCACCCTATCGAGACCTCCACTGCACAAACACATGACCGGCCGCCAGAACTTTCAACACTGCGGCTCCATGCGCCAAGTCGATCTGCAAAGAGCCCGAGGATCGAACCATCTACGTATGGGCCGACCCCGCGGGTCCGCGTCTCGCTCACTTCAGAAACCATCAGGCTTTGAACTCAATCTGGAGAAATGTTTTAGCTTGCGGATTACAATAACCTTCTCATGGAAATGGAACGCGTCTACCGCTTCTCCGCCGTATCCGGATTGTTGAATTCAAGCGATGTCGCCGATGCCACCGGTCCCCCTTGACCCTGGGCGACGAAAGGCTATCTGGACGAGCTCGAGTCACTCCCCCGATCGAACCGTTCCCCGTCTCACGATGACTGCTTCACGGTGTGCGCAGGTGTGATTGGGAACGTGGCTCAGAGAGGAGCGTCCGCCAGTCCACCTTGAAGGCAGCAGGGTGTCCAGAAGCCTCCCTCGCAAATCCTCGTGCTCAGCAGGAGGGAGCAGGAATGGCCCAGTGGAGGAGCGGACGTGGTATTGCGACAATAGCGTTGGCAAGCAGAGGGCAGAGGCCAAGCGAGAGCGGTCCACGAACTCTGGGGTGGCTGCTTCCTCTGCCGCGGGAAGCCTGGAGAGGTCCTCGGCGCGCGTGCCGCTGGCGCCGCAGACGCCTCCGCCAAAGCCAAGCTGCCGCTGCCGCTTGGTGAACGTTTTTCTTATCGGCGTTTCGACATTGGGCGGAAGCGGGGGGGGAGGGGGGGGGGCTGGCTCAGGACCTCTGATTAGTGCGACTGCTTGGGACCGTGCGTCCTATGGGGGAGACTCCACCTGCTCGAAACAGGCGCCAACAACAACCAAGATCTACTCCACGGGGGGGGGATGGGGGGGGTGCGAGGGCCCGCGCCGATCGGCAAAATAACGAATGAAAAACGATCACTTGCACCACTGCTGCACTTTATGCCTCCCTCTTACGTCTCGCACCTCCGATCCGTTCTCGCTGGTCTCAGCAGCCTGTCTTGTATCGATCGTTGGAAACAGAAGCCGCCCGAGCTTCTGTTAAGATGGATGCGCCGGCTCTGAGACTGGCAAGGGCGGACATCCTGCACGAGACGCGATCGTGTGGGAACCCTGGACATGCCTCTCCCCAACTGGATGGACACCGCGGGCGCAACAATGTCCCTCGTCTGCACACCTGCATGACGGCCACGAGCAAGGCCAAGTCAGAGTGAGGGGGCCGAACGGTCATTCATTGTCCTTGCGTGCGTGGCTGACTAAAGAATTCGTGGTGAGAATTCTGTTTCTTGCATTGTTGTTGTTGCTGCTGTGTGTTGTCGTCGTCCCACCCGCGACCCACCCGCGACCCACCCCGCGACCCACACGCCACCCACCCTGCGACCCACCCGCGACCCACCCTCGACCCACCCCGCGACCCACCCCGCGACGCACCCGCGACCCACCCCGCGACCCATCCGCGACCCACCCGCGACCCACCCGTTTCGCTTCGATTTGTGCCTTGCGTGATGGCGAGGCGAAACTGTGCATGCAAGTTAGAGGCGATGAACCAACCGGCCTCAGCTGGGGGGCAGACTCGACAGTCATATGTCCTCCTCCCCAGGAGCGGTGCCCCGCGGCATGTCCCACGATTGTCCCGCCTGGTTTCCCCTTCTCCTGGGGACGGTGAGCCCCCACGTGCCCCGTGGCTGTCCCGTGGTCGTCCTGTGCGATGGTGCCGCATGTGTCCAGTGGTTGCTCGTAAATGCGAAAATTTTACGACATGGGATGAACGGGTGGCACGACGATGCACCAAGCTAACCCAGAACCACGCGAAGACCAACCTGCTATGAGCGAGTCAATGCACGAAAACCTTTTCCCGTGCTCAACAGTTCAACCAATCCGGCTGCACATACGTGTCACCCTTGGCAGCCAACCACCACTACACCGCACAACCGCAGTTTTGAGAAATGAAAAGCCAACGAACAGGGATGTAACACTGGAGCGTGCGGCTCCCCGAGTACATACAGGCATCCCCGAAATGACGCCGCAACGTCCACGCTGACAGAAACATGGCCGACTTGCGACTACGCAAGGACAAAGAAAAAAGGATACGGAAACGGAAAATAACGCAACGCACCATGTGTATAACTGTAGATGCATACGCCTGTATGTATCTGTATGTATGTAGGTGTGTGTATATATATACACTAGAACCATCGCGCGCGCTTCGCGCGCGCGCGCTCAAGTTCTAGCTAGGCTTGATAGGCTAACTCATGTAATCTCATGTTGGTCGCTTCTTGCGTCCAGGGACTCCCTTGGAGGCCCTGCGCAAGCCTCGGAATCGTATAGAAGGGGACGTGCGGAAACGCAGAAACCATTCATTTCCTTCAGGTATTCAACGATCTGGGGCCCTCAAGGGCTTCCTGGGCTCTTTTTGGGGAGGTGAGGGGGGTCTGAATTGTGGTCTGTTGAATAGACCTGGGGCCAATCTTGAAAAAAAAAAAAAAAGAATTGTGGGATATATGTGGTTTTCCAGTTCCTCGGAGGTGTTCGGCGCTGTTTTTTGTTTGTGCCTCGCGGGTGTTGTCAGCCAGGCCCCTCAGGGGTGTGGGATCTTCCAGACCCCCTGGGGGCTGGAGGCCTCCTGGAGGCCTGGAGAGCCGTCGGAAGGGTGTCTCGGGCTGCGCGGGAGCGTGTTGGGCCGTTCTTTACGTTCTGGGGGCTCCTTGGGGTCGTCTTGAGCTGTCCTTGGGCGTCTTGGGGGTACCCGCGGAAGCCGGGAGGCGCAGTACCGGCCAGATGTCAAGGGATGTGTGGGATCTCCAAGTAGGAATCCCACTTTGAAGAAAAGGGGATTCTGGGAGTTCCCTTTTTTGGTCAAAATCCTCGATCTTCGAGGGTTGGAAGCGGGAAAACGTGAGGAGGCGAAAACCATTGAAAAAAATGGAAATCAACGACTTTACCTTCTTTGGGCTCTCTCGGGGCGGCTCTTGCAGCTCTCTTGGGCTGTTCTTGGAGCCTCGTCGGGCTCTTTTTGGGGCCTCTCAGGGATCGGGGGGGTGTTGGTGGCCTCTGGGGGGTCCCGGAGGCCTCTCGGAGGTCTCTGGAAGCCTCCTGGCCCATCTTGGGCCTGTTCTGGGGTGGACTGAGGCAGTCTTGGAGCCTTCTTGGCCCGTCTCGGGGCCGTCTCTTGAGTGGTCTTGGGGCGGTCTTGGGCGGCTCTTCGGCGTTCTTGGAGCGTTGGAAGCTCGAAAACGCGAGAAGGCCAAAAACAGATGAAAATGATCCCGGCAGAGCAACCTAACAGAAATGTGTAGGAGCATATCTGGAAGCATTCCCCTTAAGATTCAGATGAGAATCCAGTTGTAGAATTCTGCTGTTCTCGCAGTCGTAGTCGCATTCGCGATGACAGTCGCAGTGGCAACGGCAGTCGCAGTCACAGCCTCAGCCTCAGCCTGCCTCAGCCTCAGCCTCAGCCTGCCTCAGCCTCAGCCTGCCTCAGCCTCAGCCTCAGCCAGCTTCAGCCTCAACATCAGTCTGCCTTCAGCCTCGGCCTCAGCCTCAGCCTGCCTCAGCCTCAGCCTGCATCAGCCTCAGCCTCAGCCTCAGCCTGCCTCAGCATCAGCCTGCCTCAGCCTCAGCCTCAGCCTGCCTCAGCCTCAGCCTCAGCCTGCTTCAGCCTCAGCCTCAGTCTGCCTTCAGCCTCGGCCTCAGCCTCAGCCTGCCTCAGCCTCAGCCTGCATCAGCCTCAGCCTCAGCCTCAGCCTGCCTCAGCATCAGCCTGCCTCAGCCTCAGCCTCAGCCTGCCTCAGCCTCAGCCTCAGCCTGCTTCAGCCTCAGCCTCAGTCTGCCTTCAGCCTCGGCCTCAGCCTCAGCCTGCCTCAGCCTCAGCCTGCATCAGCCTCAGCCTCAGCCTGCCTCAGCCTCAGCCTCAGCCTGCCTCAGCCTCAGCCTCAGCCTCAGCCTCAGCCTCAGCCTGCTTCAGCCTCAGCCTCAGTCTGCCTTCAGCCTCGGCCAGCCTCAGCCAGCCTCAGCCTGCATCAGCCTCAGCCTCAGCCTCAGCCTCAGCCTGCCTCAGCCTCAGCCTGCCTCAGCCTCAGCCTCAGCCTGCCTCAGCCTCAGCCTCAGCCTGCTCAGCCTCAGCCTCAGTCTGCCTTCAGCCTCGGCCTCAGCCTCAGCCTGCCTCAGCCTCAGCCTGCATCAGCCTCAGCCTCAGCCTTCATCAGCCTGCCTCAGCCTGCCTCAGCCTGCCTCAGCCTCAGCCTCAGCCTCAGCCTCAGCCTCAGCCTGCCTCAGCCTCAGCCTGCCTCAGCCTCAGCCTCAGCCTGCCTCAGCCTCAGCCTCAGCCTCAGCCTGCTTCAGCCGCCTCAGCCTCAGCCTCAGCCTCAGCCTCAGCCTCAGCCAGCCTCAAGCCTCAGCCTCAGCCTCGCCTCAGCCTCAGCCTGCCTCAGCCTCAGCCTGCCTCAGCCTCAGCCTCAGCCTCAGCTGCCTCAGCATCAGCCTGCCTCAGCCTCAGCCTCAGCCTGCCTCCCTCAGCAGCCTCAGCCTCAGTCTGGCCTCTCAGCCTCAGCCTGCATCAGCCTCAGCCTCAGCCTGCAGCATCAGCCTGCCTCAGCCTCAGCCTGCCTCAGCCTCAGCCTGGCCTCCTCAGCAGCCTCAGCCTCAGCCTCAGCCTCAGCTTGCCTCAGCCTCAGCCTTGCTCAGCCTCAGCCTCAGCCTCTCAGCCTCAGCCTCAGCCTCAGTCTCCTTCAGCCTCGGCCTCAGCCTCAGCCTGCCTCAGCCTCAGCGCCTCAGCCTCAGCATCAGCCTGCCTCAGCATTCAAAATGTGGCCCGGGAATGGAGTTCTGGGAACTCGAAGAACACGAAGTGGCCTACAGTTGGCTCCGGGCATTCAAAATCATGCCCAGGAATGGAGTTCTGGGAACTCGAAGACCACGAAGTGGCCTACAGTTGGCTCGGGGCATTCAAAATCATGCCCAGGAATGGAGTTCTGGGAACTCGAAGACCACGAAGTGGCCTACAGTTGGCTCCGGGCATTCAAAATCATGCCCAGGAATGGAGTTCTGGGAACTCGAAGACCACGAAGTGGCCTACAGTTGGCTCCGGGCATTCAAAATCATGCCCAGGAATGGAGTTCTGGGAACTCGAAGACCACGAAGTGTGTTACTGTTGGCTAAAAAAAGAATCCCCAGATCCCGTCCGGATCCCGCCCAGACCCCCCTGGGGCGTCAAGATGCTCTCTTATGACCCCACTAGAAACCTATCAGTCTTCGCTGTTAGGTAAAAACGAATGCAAATCGATGATTTTGGCCTCTTCGGGCCATCCCGGGACGCCTCTCGGACCTCTCTTGGGGTCTCTTGGAAGCCACCTGGGAGCCTCGAGAGCCGTCGGAAGGCTGACTTGGGCTGCTTGGGAGCGTCTTGGACCATCCTTTCGCAACCTGGGGGCTCCTGGGATGCGTCTTGGGCCCTCCTGGGGCGCTGTGGAGGCTCCCCGGAAAGGCCGGGGGAGCGGTACCGGGAGGGGGATCAGGGGGCGATTCGCCCCCCTGCGATTTTCATTTGTTTGTCATTCTGGTGGTTCGTGCAAGATACCTGTTGGTTGATACGTGTGCTGCCTCCGCCCCCCCCAAAAACCTTAACA